TGTGAACAATTCAAGCAGAAGCAGAGAATGCCAATATATTCACAAAACAATTAATTAATATACAGCAGCTGTAAGCTTACAATATATAGGCATATAAAGATGCCCTAGATAAGTAAAAGACCTAACTACCCTTAAAAGACACAGACTCAAATATATATTAATATTGGCTATACAATTGTCACAATTGTAACATTATATAAAGATAGTATGAGGTTTTATATCCTAAATTAATCAGTTCATGAGTTGGAATGCTGGTGTGGGAAGAAACCTTGCATAAACATTGCTGAGGGAACGTATAGATTCAAATCGAAATCATGTTCTCACTGATGATTGAAGTGGATGAGTTTCCACGCCCCTTTCCTCAACCAACACTATATATTAAGCAGATGCATATGGAGAGGAACAAATCAATCTCAATTGTACATTAACTACAAGGTCTTCTATTCTATCTTCTCACAATACACCAAGAAGAAATGGCTTTGCATACTCGTTCTAACAGCTAACCCTCTAGGCCACACCCGATCATTGAAGAAGTTGAACTTTTGTGTAGATTAAGGTCTTCTGAGGCACCTCCAAATCTTCATCATCAATATGCAACAAACTAAGTGGCCTCCAAGACTTGCATGATTCTGTTGATAGGTTTCTTCAGTTGCCCCTCACTCAACAAGCCTTAGCCCAAGAGCAGAATGAGAAATGGACTAATGAGTTGTTAGATGGCTCACTCCAGCTGTTGGATGTTTGTGGAACTGCCAAAGATGCCTTGTTGCAAACCAAGGTATGCGTCCAGGACCTTCAATCAATCATGCGAAGAAGGCAGGAAGGTGAAACTGGAGCTCTTACAAGTGAGGTTAGGAAATACTTAACCTCCAGGAAGATGGTGAAAAAGACAATCCAAAAGGCTATGAAGAATCTCAAGGGAACTGAAAACAGATCCACCTTCTCTTCCCTCAACAAGGACAGTGAGACTATTTCCATTGTGAGCGAGTTGAGAAATGTTGAAGCAGTCACTCTCGTAGTGTTCGAATCACTGCTGTCCTTCATCTCCGGCCCAAAATCACAGCCAAACAGCAGCTGGTCATTGGTCTCCAAGATGATGCAATCTAAACAAGTAGCTTGCGAGGAAGAAACAGAAGTAAATGAATTTGCAGAGGTGGATGCTTCATTGCAGTCACTCATTGGACACAAGACAAGCAAATCTCATTCCCAAAGTGCAGATAATGCACACAACCAGTTGGAGAAGCTGGACGCATGCATTCAAGATCAGGAAGACGGACTTGAGTGCCTATTTAGGCAAATGATCAAAACAAGAGTCTCCCTCCTCAACATCCTAAACCACTATATATTAGCTTTTTCGATTTTGTACATGAAAAACATTACTTGTGTATACAAATACATCCTCTGATATCAAATTTATTATACAAAATGATATACTCATTTGCTTAAATTCTCAACTAGTCTCTTTCTTTCTTCAAAAGCACACTTTGGGAACTGATCTTGAATTCTTGCAACTACTGAAACTGACACGATTTCTGATCCGACTATCATCCTCAGGTCTCTGCATTCCGATTATCATCCTATGCATGGATTCGATCTAGAAAACTAATTGAAAAATGAACTTATCCCTATTGTCTAATTTCAAGATCAAAAGATGAATTTACTCTAATTTCCCAAAGTCAAACCCGAGAGGGGTAAATTCACAGGAGCATTTGAAATTATGATTGTCACATGGGATTTGCGCAAATCATGTCAAATATCAAGGCTGTCAAGATTCCAATTGTCTCAATAGAGATAATAAATAATCAACAATCAATGGCATTCAAAAGGACTTGATTCTCACAAGGTTTAATCAGTAAACAATGCTGACTGTCTCTATGTTAGAGGGACAAATAGGGACTACAAAAAAGATTAAGTCTGTGATCATATTGTCTTGCAATACAATCATTTAGAAAACCCATACAATTCATATGATTTTTCAGTCAAAAGTTTTGTTTAAATAATGCTTTTACGTGCAAATTTTGTCACATACAATGCCATTGTTGCCATTGCATGCACAGAAAAGAAAAAGAATGTATAAACCTATAAATACACATGGGAAAGACACCAAGGAAAATTTATCCCCTTTCCTTGTATCTGAGGAAAAGGTGTTTAATAGTAATATAACTTGCCCTGCTGATTTTATCACCATTGTTCAAAATATAAAGTTCCATCTACAAGCCTGAGTAACGCGCTTTTGCGGGTGCACGACAAGCGTGACACCATTGTCATGGTCAGCATATTAAGACGGGTTGGAGTCACTTAAATTATATCCACCATTTCTAAATCACAACGATAGTAAGTAGCTGTCTTTGGTTTCTATACAAGACCAGTGAGGCAGAGAGAGAGAGAGAGAGAGAGAGAGAGAGAGAGGAGAGGAGCACACATTCACTAGTGCAAGAAAAGATATCGATGTTTCTGTATAAATACATTCTCAATGGTAAAGACAATTTGATTCCCAGCTCAGATTTTATACAAATTTTCGTTGGCCTCAACAACTGTCAATTGGTGGTGATGAATAATGGACTATCACTTATTACATAGTTGAACTTCATGATCCCCTGCCTCCTCGTTGTCGCTTTTCTTCTAGTGCAGTTGCTTCATTTAACATGTCGGCGGCGTCCTTGTGCATGTCTAGCTTGGCTAGAGCAACTGACTGCATGTAGAAGGCCGTGGGCCAGTCTGGATAAACACATTGTGCTTGCATTGCATCTCGAAGAGCAGCATCAGGTTGCTCATTTAACAGATAGCATAAACTGCGTCGTGCAAAAACAGTTGGGGACACCATAGTTCCAACATCTATAAACTGCACGCAAAAAACCCAAAAGGAACCACTTAAGTTAACATCACTACTTAAGACCCAGTTACTTCAAGATTATAACTCGATGAGCCCATCATAACACAAAAAAAACAAAACAAAACAAAATGCTTCGAATAGCCATCCTAAATCTAATCAACAAAATACTACAAAAGATTACATCAGCAGTAATTTGATTCAAAAAGGTTGAGCAAGAAAATAAATATGGTAACACTTACAGTTGGGGGCATAAAATTATGACATAATCTACTGGTGGAAGGTTCCAAGTCAAACGTTCAGTCAATTTCTTGACATATTTCCAGCCCAAAAGATTTACCATTATACATAAATTAAAAAGCACACACGAGCTACAAAGTTATACCTGGGAGTAACAATCAATGGCAGTTTTAAAATCTTTGTCACGAAATGCATAGTCCCCTCGCTTTCTTGCCTCCAGCATGTCTCTCATTTGTTGAGTCCACTCTTGGAAAGATAACTGAACCCATCCAAATTCAAAAAGATCTCTTAGTACAAATTGAATGAACAGGGATATGCAAGACCTCTAGTACCACTCAACTACCTCATTGGTTCCTTCATCATCTCGGTAGTGCGTCATAACCAAGATCTGATGGATTGCTGTGAGGTCCATCCGAGAACAGGCCTCGCCCATTGCAGAAAGGGGACGTTGTGGGGTTGCAGGGGCTTCCTCATGCTTTGGAATTCCAAGCATGACATAAGATGGGACCTGCAATCCAGACCTTTGTTATTAGCTTCTTAATGTGAAGCAGTGCTCCTTTATCATCTTAAAAGCACATCCATCGATTACAAAACATATTTGACCTCATATTAGGTCCACAGACAAACATAGTTTTGGCCATGTAAGAATATGTGGATGCCAGGGAAATGCCCCAAAGGAGGTTAAACTAGACTATTTCATAATCCAATTAGAGAAAAGTATCTTACTTCAGGTTTGGTCTGCAGTGGAGCAAGTGTCGCAACAAGGTCCTTCGTATTAGGCCGCTCTCTGGGTTCATATTGGAGACATTGAGAGGCAAGATTAACAACCACGGTTGCTTCCTCTGTAGAAAATTTCCCCTCCAAATGTGAATCCATTAAAAGAATGATATTTTTCCCCCGAATCATATCAAGAGCCTGTTTACATGAATATACATCAAATATATATTAGAATATGTTCCGTTTATAAATAAAATAAAATAAAAAGACCAGCACTGAACAAATCTCACCTTACATCTTAAGTGATATGTAACTGGTGAACAACTTAAACTTCTAGCATGATGGAGGAATACCCATCATTTTTTAAGTATTGTTATAATTCATAAAGCCACGAAAAATCTTCTCATGCACTGAAATTAAAAGTAAATTGAAATTCACAATTCCAAGAAGAGATTTATGTGAACTAAGATAAGATAACCATGAAAATAGTTTTTAGAAGAAGCAAAGGGAGTGTTTTTACATAACATCAAGATGGGTGAATTGCATGGAGACAGAATGAAATTATATAAAACAGGGATGTTGTTCAATATTATTTGTCCACTAAGATGTGGAGGTTATGAAGAAAACTGTTTCTCAAATCCAGCATGCTGAAGAGCTTGAATACTCAAAGATATATCTGCGTATCTTATTTGAACAATCAAATTAGTATAAACAGATCCGCTAAAGAATATTTGTAATTAATTAATTTCAACTTTGAGTGACAACTACTAGTTGACACAATCCAAGAGGACTATAGCATCAAGATACATTTGCTCTAAAACGCATAAAGCATGTTATATAGCAGTGCACTTACATGACTTGGAGGGATGTGCTTTCCACTTAGCAGATCTAGAAGGACAGTGCCAAAGCTATAAATAACACTTTCTGGAGTGACCCTTCCTACAATGTAAATTAAAAGACAACTGAAGGCATATCTCATGCAGGAAAATTCCTTTAGATAGGAAAACTACAATAATAACTAGACAATGATCAAATGGATAGGTGATATTTAGACTAGAGATGTTATTACCATTTCTTAAATACTCAGGCGGCGTGTAGGCAAGATTCGTGCTATAACTCTTCCCATCCCTACTATTTCTCATCAAGCCAAAACAGGAAAGACGAGGATCACCATCCTACAGGTCACATTCAAATACTAGAATATCACCCTTAATATTAATGGACACTGAAGTAACTGAAAATACATATATTTTTAACTATGATAATCAAATTTGAGAAAGGAATACCTCGTCAAAGAGAACCCTATAAGCATTCAAATCGTGGTATAATGGACGGCCCTCAGTACTACAATAATCTAAAGCTTCAGCAATATAAAGACCCACTCTTAAACGCATAGCCCACTCAATGGTTTGATTCTCCCCTGTCAAGAACAAGCCGAGACCAAAAATTTAATCTTAGATATAACAGAATGCAGCCACTAATATCTCAATTTGAAGGCACAAAACCCAAAAGTAAAATTGATCTCCTATGCAAAACTCAGGAAATTAACAGTACGAAGACAAGCACAATACAGTCACATTAAATAGAATACTATAGCAAAAACCACCTCGCCGCACCTTCCCCAAATGAAAGGCAATATAAAACATCATCTAGGATTGGCAAAACTACTAGATAACAGCATGCATAAATAGACCAGCTAAGATAAATGGCATAACTTTAGAAAACTAATGTCAATGCAATCTTACATTTCAATGTTTGATTGTTTAAGAACTATGTACTTAGAGATACTTCACAAAAGTGTCACTGAGAAATCTTAGAAGCTAAGCTAAAAAGCAGCATTCTTTATACACCAGTTAAAGTATAAAGTGGGGAAAAAAAAGAAAAGAAAGGTGTTGACACATACAATGAAACAAATGCTTAGCTAAAGTATCAGTAGGCATGTACTCAGCAACAAGCAGCCTCTCATCACCATCACAGCAATAGCCAATTAAATTTGCAAGCCTCCGATGCCTCAGCTTCCCAACACCCCAAGCTTCCTCCTACAAAAGCAAAAGCCCAGAAATTTAAAAACCCAGAAAGTATTGCACATACCCACTTCACAAAACGATTGAAAACTACCAAAACGACCAAAAGTCCCAAACCCAATGAAGCCAAAAGCATAAACAAGCTTACCGCAAACTGCTTGGGATCAGGCCAAGCCATCTTGGTGAACTTCTTGACGGCGATCCAACGGCGGTTCTGCAGCCGCCCTTTGTAGACAAGGTTAGGGGCTTTCTCACCGCTCTCTGAGACTATGAAGTCGGAGCTGAAGTTGTTGGTGGCGGCTTTGAGGTCCGAGAAAGAGAATTCGGAGAAGGGTGGAGCTCCGCCGGTTTCCGGGTCGGATCCGGGAGATGGATTCTGGTGGTGGGTCGGAGTCCGGCTGTTGTTGGCATGTGCTTGGATTTGGAGCTTGTCTGGTTGCTTCTCTGAAACCTTTGATTCACAGCAACCCATGACTTGGTTTGTGTGTTTGTGTGCTTCAGCAGCTTCTTGGAGTTGGAAGAAGAGAAAACTAGAGGAAAACCATGAGCTGGTTCCTGGCTGCCTCCTCAGCTTGAGTGCCTAGTGGGTTAAGAGAGACTTGAAGAGAGAGAGAGAGAGAGAGAGAGGAGACAGTTTTGTATGTGCTCTCTCTCTGTCACAGCTTCCTGGCAGTTTAATGCTAAGGTTTAGCTTATGGTAATTAAAGCATTTCTAGTTGCTACAGTTTTATTAGTTAACCTTCTTTTATTTCTTTCCATTTTTCCACTAAACACTTTCGGCCATTTGGTTTTCAATTTTCCTACAAGCAAAAGAATTTAATTAGTTTCTTTTTTGACAAAAAGAAAAAAAAAAGATAGGAATGCAACACGTATCTCTTTTTACATCAATCATCACCATTTTAGTACTAATCTTGTCCGAACAATTCTTTTCCTAAATATTGGTAATTTATCAAGTTTTATCACATTAATATCATTAGTTTGTGAAATTCTGTTTAGGATTATAAGATTCTGTCATCTATCTATATGCGTGTATTTTTATATATAATTTTGGGAAATTTACATAAATTCCACCTGAATTTTTAGGCATGTGCGTCATTACCACCTGAACTTTTTATTTTTATTTTTACCCACCTAAACTTTATAAAGTGTTGCAATCCACCACCTACGTATAACTCCATTAAAATTTCCGTTAAGTTTAGAGTATTTTCATTAATTAACAATAACTAAAAATAATTGTTAAAATACAAAATTTATTTTAAAAACAAACAAACAAACAAACAAAAAACGTTCAACATGTGTTGGTGATCATATATGAAAATCAGCCTCACAACACCATGACCACCTCTTGTTTTGAATGTCCTTTTTGTGAGGGCATGACATACTTGATCTCACTAGCTCAATAAGTGTTGGATGGCATGGAACTATGGAACAATAAGAATACTTAAGCAATCAAGTACTCACGTTGAAGGATTTATGCAGAGGGTGTGGGTGTTGGGGGTGGAGAGGCCTGGTATAATTAGGTTAACATTTTTTATTTTTTATTATATGTATACTTTTTTATTTATAATTATAGTTAATTGACAAAAATACCCTTAAATTTAACGGAAGCTTTAACGGAGTTATATGTAGGTGGTGAATTACTATACTTTACAAAGGTCAGGTGGTTAAAAATAAAAATGAAAAGTTCAGGTGATAATAACGCACATGCCTATAAGTTCAGGTGGTATTTATGCAAATTTTCCTATAATTTTTCTTTATGCATTTTCATATGTGTAATATTGACCGAGATAGGAACCGAATAGATAAGCTCGGCTCGGATGAGAAAATAAATGCTCTTAACCTACTTGAGCTACATAGTACTTACTTTTTTCTTTTCTTTTCCTTAAACCCCACAAGAATTCCCCCTTTGAAATTAGATTTGGAAGGTTCATGCTTTCAATTAAATTATGCTCAAGTGGGGTAGTTTATTATCATCACAAAGTAAAGACAGAAGAAAACATGGTTAAACAAATACCAAGTTTTCTGGTGCAGTTGACCACAAAATAAAATATAAGGCGCACACACAGTAAACAGGCAAATTGCAGAATCAAAGCAAACCCTTCTTGCTTAGTTTCTCCCTTTTAATAATAGTATGTGTTTGGAACAAACACAGAATCTCATGACCTGTTATTTTGCATCATAATTGACCTATGGATTGATTTGTATAAGAAAAGCCAACTGATTTTTCCCAGTACTCAAGTTGTCTTGTTCTTTTGCTTTCCTTGTAGTACTTCATCATGACAAGATACCAGAACTTGTTTGGTTGTTGCATTTTGTTTTCTTTAATGCATATAATCTTGATGTGTATTAACTATTTTTAAGTGTGGCCTATCCAATTGAAAAGGCATATATTCTCTTCTCATAAAGGTCCAATTTTTCTTTGTGGAGACAAATCATTATATGCCACTTACTGTGTTTTAACAGTTGCATTCATTCATTGTAGGCAGGTACCATTCAATAATGTTATGTTATGCCCAAAAGTTCAAAAACATAATCCACGTTTCTTTTTTGGTTTTTTTTAATACACACGATAGTCTAAATTATAAAGGGAAAGGGGTTTCTTACACTGTCAAAATATCATGAGAATTTGAATCTGAAACCACTTATATGCAAGTTAATGTCCTTTTCTACTCGACTCAACCTGTTGGCTTTTTTTGTTTGATATCACCAACACTCTGAGTTTTGCCAGCATAGGCTTGGTCTTGATTAAAATGTACCCCAAAAAGCAATAAATAAATAAATCCTTGGTTATCATAAAAATGCTGATTATAATGCACATAATTTTAACTCATTGGGTGGAAACTCAAGACTGCCAGCAAAGTTTGTAGCCAAATCAAATCTATCTGCCGATTCTGCACAGATACCAAAGAGGAGAAAGAAAAAAATTAGAGTGAACATATGTCAATCATTTGTTTGGTGGATGATGAAAATGAATATTTTTCAACACCCGGTGAAATTGAGAAAAAAGACTGGTTGGAGTGGTAGTTGCTGGTTCCCAATTCCCATTCGTCCATTGCTTTTAATTCCACTCGCAAAAAGAGAATAAGTTAGACAATCGAAGAACTACAGAAATTTGTTATTAACCCATGATAGTCACAAGTTTTATTCTCATACTCTCTACTTGTACAAGCCCCATTTTATATTTCATATGTGATTTGGAATTGGGAAGTGTGACTTTGGCCTAGCTTTTTTTACAATTTGTAGAGGACAAAATAACCAAAAATGTTGCATGAGCAATTGATCGTAATATTATAAGAGCAGTGATAAAGTATGAGTGACTAATCGTAACATTCTAAGAGTTATGAGATTAATATTTAGCATGAACGACTGACAGCATCATTCTTTAATGTTTATATTAATTGACCATAACACTGTAAAAACAATGTTAAAGTGTAAGTTTTAGCATTACGAGTCATGATAAGTAGAAAAACTTATTTGTAACGAGAATAGTACTTTATAACATTCTAAGAGTAATGACTCATTGACCATAACATTGTAAAAGCAGCATTAAAGCGTAAGCGACTAAGCTTGACATTCTTTAATGAGCGATATTAAGGTATGAAGGACTGATCATAATACTCTTCAATGTTTATGTAAAAATGGTCAAATGGCCAACCTATGGTTCTCATTTCAAGGAAAGAGGCACCCTATGGGCGCCTAATGTCGTGTGGACTATGGACCAATCGATGGGGACTTTTGGGGCACAGTCTTGCTGTATTGGACGAAGACGAATCATAAGCTTATAGACGCATCCCCATTCAGAGATTAACATGAACGTGTTTAACTGAATTGGGCTTGGCATGATATCTTTTGGACTTTTCAACACATACAAAAACCCATGAAAGTGAATTCCGTTCTACTGTCAAGAAGCAATGAATTTTGTCGACTCTCATGTTCACTCGGTTCAAAGGTTTTTTTCACAGTTTTCTGCTGAATCACGGAAGCATGACTGCTGGAAGCAAAGTGACCTAATCATAAACATTAAAATATATATATATATATATATTCCAAAATCCAAACGTAGTTTTTGCTCTACAAAGTTCACAGGATGTAAACCTCAATAATTGAAGAGACTAAAGTCACATTTCACACTTCACTTCACAGCTTTTTACTTTGCATCCACATTCAAACACTCCATGAAACGTCGCCGTTTAGCAGAACTTTTATTTGGTTCATTTTCTTATTAAAGGTGTTGTCACTTTGTTCAATTGCCAAAGGTTGTCTGTACAATAATTGATATAAATGAAATACTGAAAAAGAAAGAACAAGGAAAGAATAAATTTTATACAAATATCCAATTATTTTTGGGCATAGAGACAGGACTTGCGTCACTCCAAGCACCCCATACAGACTACACTGAAACTCATCATCATCACAAAACTGAAAAGGACAGCCGCTTACTTGAATTATTTTGGCCAATTTGTGCAAAAGTCTTGGTACTTTTGATTTGTGAAAGTAGCTCCCTTCTTGCCCTTCATTCCACGTCTCTCATATGCTGCCAAATTGCAATATTTAGCTCAAGAAAGGAGCCCCAGTCCATAGAAAGTAGATTTCACTGATTCACGGAGCAGTAAGAGTAGTTCATAATGTGATTCTATGAGCAATCGTCGATTCAGCGAACACTTTGGCCAGAAGCAGCTTTAAAATCATTTCTGTTGTCAGGCAGTGGACCAAGTTGATTCATAATCAGCAATAACTTATCTTGTGCTTGCCCCTCACCTTTGCCTGTGTGCATTGTTGCCCATTGTCTTTGCTCGTATAAATATTCAGCCGTTGTCATCAATCAACTGTACTGGTTGTCTCCTTAAATTAAAACTGCAGAGCCAGCCCAGATAAATAGCTTGCACTGTAAATGGGGAAGCCTCAAGCATGGCTTACTGCTATTACAGATTATCCTGATCTCAGCAACAATAACTAGCCAAGCAGACAATGAAATGGCCGCCGACAGATGGAGGAAAAGCTTGCTCCAAGGAATGAATTCTTGAGCTCCAAGGTAATAGACCCTCAAAGAACTAGAGACCTTCCATTCATTCGCCTTAACAGCCGAAATGTGCAGATAATAAACCAAGTCATCAATGCAAAAGGGATAGTTATAACTCCATCTAACAACAGACCCTATGAAACCCTCTCTTCCTCTCTCGCAAGCCTATCTTCTTCGTTACGTTGCAAAAGCTCCTCGTAAGCTTTTGTGGAATTATCGGTGAACCTTTCCATGGCCTCAAAAATGCGTTGCAGACTAGCCTGTAAAGTACTATTTCTAGTGTCACTCTGATATACAATCTGTCCAGTAACTGAGAGAGTGTCAGCATCCCCTGATACTAGCACAATTTTCTTGTCTAATGCCTGAATTTCCTTCTGTAATTTTTGGTCCTTTCTATCCAAGTTCTTAACTTTTTTCTCTAGATCCTTGTGTGCTACCATCCTCTGGCGCATTTCAAGCTTATCTTGTTCCCAAACCTGTAAGACACTCGTGGTGAAGACACGCATAGTTTCAACCACCTCTCTTTCTGATATTCTCTCCAAAGCTTGTGACCATTGGTTACAGATTACAAAAACAGGAGGCGCACCTATCCTACCAGGTGAAAAAGGAACTATTCCATCTGGTGTTTCTTCAGGTTCATACAGAAGACATTTTAGAAGCCAATTGTTCAAAGCTCTCACATAACCCTTTTGAGCACTAATCCAAGTAGAGAATCTGAAAGTCCAGTTAATAAGCTCATGCTCAAGCTGCGATGTAGCATCAAGATGAGCATCACTAGCCCTTTTTCCAGATCCAATAGGACCTAAACCCCTGGCTTCTCTAATTACTTGGCACTGAGTACGATGACAATCAAGCATGCATTTCCACATCCGGGTTAACCTGAAGAAAAGAAAAGGAAAAATAATTTAACCATAATGTCACACAGATGACATACACTTTGTCGTCCACAAAGTATACACTTCCAAGTGAGAGATCATTGAGAAAATAAAAGCATAAATAATAAATATAAGCCTGCCCAATATGGCCATCACCTATCCAATCTTCCCTATTGCAAAATGAGGTTCATTGATTACCATAAGTACTTGGTAGTCTTATTAGGAGCCTTCTATTAAGGTAGGTGTTCTTTAAGACACCACTATATGAAGTAAAAACTTCCAATATGAGACTTACCCAATTTCATATTTTTGGTACAAGTTATATAATTTTAGATTTGTCACAAGGGTTTTAGGAAGTCCTACATGAGGATCTCAAATATGATACACCAACTGACAAATATTATAAGGAAACTGTGATCAAGCTTTTTCCGTTCTTCTAATTTTCCCCAGGCTCCTTCTAGCGTAATTACTTCTATTCTTTAATCACCAAGCCTAATCCTTAACCCATACAAATATACTAAAGAAGAGAAACTATTCATAGCAGGGGTTGTGACTGAAACAAATAACAAAACTTACAAACAAGCGCAGCAGAACTAGGAAGATTGATAACATACCCTTGAATTAATTCATTCAGTTGTGGCCATAATTCTTCATCCCTAATCTTATTTATGGTCACAGATATTTTGTCAACAACTTGAATTGCAATTCTGATTTTTGTGGACAGACTCCTTATTAAAGTTCGAGTTGTATCAACTTTGTGAGCCTCCGCTCCCTTTTCATCTAAACGCTTCAGCTTACGGACCTTCCTGTCATGGATTACCCGCATCTTTTCCTCAGACTGAAAAATTATAAGAATGGAAACCCATCAGTCACAACTGACAAGGACACAAATTAAGAAGGGCAAAAATCTTGAATACGCCCAGTGCTTTAAACTTTAGGATAGTAAGCAGGGCAAGAGTACGTCACCAAAAGAACTAGTCAAACTCATGTAATGGTTAATGCTTGAATAAAAAATAAAACTTTTCTGTTACTTATTCAGATAGACCCATGTTGGATACAGATTAGCCAAGTTTTAGCCAGTGAATCATGATGTATGTCCGAGAGAACATCAAACTATCAATAAAGAGGCTCTTCTGAAGACAAACATGCACTGGTCAGACTTCAAATTAAGAAGATACTTTCATAGAGATCTAGATCCAAGAGTGGAAAGAAATTAAATATTTGAAATTTCACATTCAACCAAAATAGAAAGTAAGAGATTTATTATGAAGAAGGAACGTAAAATTCATTTGAACAAACGGTCACGAACCATTTGTCTGGCACAGCATAATTAGAAAATTTTGATTTGTTAAGAAACCCAGATGGCTCAGAAATTTCAAAGCCACAAAAATGAGCAAACAAAATGCAGCTAGTAACAGGAGCGGAGGAAGCAACATACCTTTACTTCATTATAGAGTTTCTTTTCCCAAAGATACAGCTTGGCTAAGGTAGAAGAGAGATTTTTGGACCTCATCATCATTTCTTCATCAAACCCCAATTGAGCAGGACCACCTATTTCAGAGGAGGCCGATGGCTCAGCACTCTTAGAAGTAGAAGGTTGCGAAGACACTAACGACATCATCTTGGAAGAAACTGATCATAAAGACCCACACAACACAAAAGTCAAATCTCTGCTAAATAGAGTTCAAATTCAACAAAAATTCAACAACATAAAATCCTGATCTATAAACTTCCCATTTTAGGAAACTAAAACTACTACACACCAAAAGCATAAAAGTTTAAAACTTCCCAGATAGATCAAGATTCAAGCAAGCAAATTTGTAGCAATCTATCCATTAAAAGGTGTATAATCCCATACCCACCATGTTTTCGATTATGTGGAAGCCTTCCCACCTCGAGCATCTTGGCAATTTCGTTCCCGGACTCGGAAGCTCTCTGAAACTGAACCTCAATCTCTCGAGCTACTTCAAAAGCATCCAGAGACCCCGGTCGAACTTTAGGTGCACCGCCGCCATTGGCACGGTCCTCGCGCCTCTCGTCCTCATCCACAACCTTCTTCTCTACCACATGGACCTCATACTCAGCCCCACCACCATCGGTCTCCACGCTCGGCCTCGCTTGATAAAGCGAGGAAGGCTGCGTTTCAGCTAACTCATCGTCCACAACAGCCTTGGAATGCTTCCCGCCATCGACCACGTGCTTGTGGTCTCTCTGCACCTCCTTCACCACCTCCTGCTGGTACTCCTCGTCTTCCAAATCGGGAATTCCCTCTTCGTCTCTCACTTCCTTCGAGTCTCGGCTCGGCGTGTAGGCCGAGTAGTACTTATCGTAAGTCTCGAACGGGTTCAAAAACTCCCAAGCCGAAGCTCTAGGCGGCGATGGCGGAGGCGGAGGCGGCTTCGCAGAGGTGGAAGCCGAAGGCGGCGGGGGCGGGACGGGCCCCCGAGGGGGGGGGGGGGGTGG